GCTCAAAAGCTTGGAACAAAACTCATGTTATGATTTTTCAAATCCCTTTTCCGTGAAATCTGTGTGAAATAACAGTATTTCTGAGACGTCAGTTGTATGTTTTATGTCATGTAACTATTATGCTGTTCTGACTGCTTCAATAGTTTTTCAAAAAGGCAAAGCGCTTACAAGTCAAGGGTATTTGTGCCTTTTTAAAATGTGTCTGCAATGTCAGATTCTGCTGTTCGTCGAGAAAAATCATCATATGTATTACATTATATATATTTACACTATATATTTGTGTATATGCTATGTGTGTATATTATCATATATATAAATAGCTGTATATAGATTTGCAGTATATATCCAGGAATATACAGAAAACATACCATTTTATCATAAACAATTACTTTTAACCTCCTAGAAGGAGCCAGAATTCCAGAAGATTATCAGTCAACATTTGAATAAAGGAGAATGTGTTTTCCTCTGTTTTAGAAGGGTGGTTTTTGTGTTTTTTCTTTTGGCATTATGACACTCTGAAACCAAATGAAATCATAAAAAGGAAACTAAAGCTGCATATTTAATAGAAAAAGTGTGAAATGCACTCCAGAAATAGAAAAGATGATCAAGAAATATCAAGATGAAATTGCAAGTTGGGAGGGATTCCTAGAGCTAGGCGGGAAATAGAGCGTCTGCCTTTTAATTTATGGGGGGAGTTTGCCAGCAATGGCCTTCTGTAATCTGCACCATCTGCATTATTGATTAATGAGGTCAAGGGCAGAACTACTCACTGTTGGTTTCCTCCCAGGAGCCCTGTTCTGGTCTCTTCGCCAGAGTGACTTCTCGGTCTTCCTTGCAGCCACTTTGCAAAGTGCTAAGGAGGTACTGTCCTCCCATAAGTACCGCCCCCCCGAGTTGGGTGAGACCTGCCAACAGATGACAAAGAGGCTCCCATTTTGATGAAGAGGTGCTAATAAATGTGTTCAGGATCAGAGTCTGATGGTTGCTGGCTTCCATCTAGAGATAAAACACCCTTCACCGAGAAGCAAAGGGAACCACTTAGACCCCATGCACCCCAATTTGTGGAAAAGTGAAACATTCAATCACCAAACAACGAGCTGTATTGAGATTTGTTTGTTTGCTTTAACTAAACTAGCTAGAGTAGTTTCCAATTTATTTCTCAGACTCTCTCCCTCCTGGAATACATCCATACCATATCCATATCTGTGGTCCTTATGGTAACTCCTTTCTGCTTGGATTACTTGGCCTGAATCTCTTTAAAGCAGTATATATTTTAAATTGAGCTGTGGTCACTGCTTTTTTTGTCTCTCACCTGCAATTTTTCCCTCCTTTGGCTACCATCTCCAAAGTCATAGAGAAAAGATGATCTCTATGGGAGGCAATCACAAATGGGTGTCTGCTTTTCATCCCTGCCTGCAGTGAGGCATTGTGCCATGGTGTGAGGAGACAGGGGCCTGAGACCCTGGTTTCCTCCTGGTTCAGATGCCAACCCTTCCCACCAGATTGCTGGTCAGCAAGGATGACAGTGCCCACCTTACTAGGTCACTATAGGATTGAATGAGATAACCCTTCCTGATCTCCGGATTTGCAGAAAGTGTCAGGTAAATATTTGCTGTTGTGATGAGTGGCGGTCACAGAAGCGTAAGGTAGAGGTAGACAGGAGGTCATGGTCAGGCTCCTCAGTGGTGCTTTAATTCCTTCTAGAGTGTGGAAAGTAATTATTCTCTGGTTTGACTCCTTCTTACTTGTCTTCCAGTTCATTGCTTCTATTGAAAAAAGTTGGTTTTGCTCAAGTGTGGGCTCTGAATCTAAAGCTAAATTTGATGATGGTCCAGCGATTGAAAGCTATTCTGGAGGATAAAACAATCACTACTCATCCAGAGTTGGGATGTAGGCTTAATGCGAGGTATATTTCTTGTAGCAGTAAATCTAAGTGGATAATTTGTATTATACTTTCTTATTTTTTAATTTAATTATACTTTAATTAATTTTTAATATGTACAGAGCTTAAAGAGGCAACCAGTTCTAAAAAGCTTATTATGAAAGACAGCTCTCTTCCGGTCCACCAGCACCATTTCCCATTCTTTTGACACAGTTGTGTTTTTTAAATGACATATAGTTGACGCATGACATTACATTAGTTTCAGGTGTCCAGCATCAGGATTGGTGGGCATGTCCTCCAGTAGCTTTTTGAGAAATGATACATAGGAAGTAAAGGTTTTGAGACAGTTACACTTTTATTTTTATTCTTCTCTCACTCTTAGTGAATAGTTTGGTTGGGCACAGAATTTCAGGCTGAAATCATTTTCCTAATTTTGAAGGCATCACTCCATTGTCTTCTAGTTTCCAGTGCTTTTGTTCAGAAGTGAAATGTCATTCTGGTTTTGATCCTTTGTATGTAATCCCATTTCTCTCTCTGGTGGTTTCTAAGACCTTTTTCTCTGTGCCAGTATTCTGAAAATTCATAATGATATGCTTCAGTGTATTTTTTTTTTTTTGGTCCATTGTACTGAACACTCAGGAGGCTGTTTTACTCAGAAAATGCACATCCTTAACTTCTGGGAATTTTTTAAAAATTATTTATTCGGTTATTTTCTCTCTCCTGTTTTCTGAAAATTCTGTCTACAAGTGCCAGGTTTCCTGTTTCTGTTAAGGTGAGGGAGGTACAGTCACTGGTCTGCTTGAAGTGAGGGAGATAATTTGTGGATTACATTTTCAAATACTCTTTCAGTGATCCTATCTTCAGACCCTCCTTCACCCCTATTTCTAGAGCTTTGCCCACTGCCAGCTGAGTGGACCATCGTTCTTCTGCTTTCCAGCATCTGGGATGCCTGAGTGGTTCAGCTGGTTATGCGTCTGCCTTCGGCTCAGATCATGATCCCAGTGTCCTGGGATCAAGTCCCACGTCGGGCTCCTTGCTCAGACTTCTCCCTCTGCCTGCCACTCCCCTTGCTTGTGCTCGCTCATGCATACACTCTCTCTCTCCCTCTCTGACAAATAAATAAGATCTTTGATCAGCCCATACACTCTCTTTTCCTTGGGGGTTTATGCCTTGTAAAAAAAAAAAAGTAATGTATGGTGATTAACATAACAAAAAATTAAAAAAAAAAAAAAAAACCCTTTACTATTATCTTGTTCTGGTATAACAAGAAAGAGCAAAGGTCATGGTATGTTTCCAGTCTGTTATCTTTAACCAAAAGCCCAAGTGATTTTTTTAAGGAAATTCAGAATTGATGTTTGCCACATGTTTTAAGTCCATTTTCCTAATCATCAGACACTGAATAAATATTCACAACCTTTTATGACCTGCTGGGAAATGGACAGTTCCAGTCCAATGTAAGCTATTTCATAGATGACCACGGATTCTAAGAGCATACAGTACAAGGAGAGAGCATGATAAGAGGGCAAAGAATACTTTACATTCGTTCTAAAGTGATTTCTGTGGCATGAGCTCTCTTCTTGACAACCCCATCATCCATAACTTAGATCTGCAAATACAAGACCTAATAAGGCAAAATCAGCAACAGAAAAATACCTAAGTGTCCCTATACTAAGTGGAAGAATGTGTTCATAGGAGACCTCATTACTCATTTATGGTTCTATTTAAGTCCTATCTTTCATGTTATTTGAATCCAGAAAGCCTTTTCTGGTTTGACTTTGCCTGATCTTTTCTTTATAGACAGATACAGTCATCTGGGAAAAAAAGGCTCCAAATGTTGTCTTGTCCCCGAATCCCTTTTTCCTATTGTCTTTGGTGCAGCATGTGGCTGTCATTGGCCCAGCCGACAGCTGACATTTGCTGTGTCCTTCTTCACTTATGAGGCCAAGGGCAAAGGCAACTAGACAGGTCCTGTGGCCGAGGGGTGGTTGACACTTGTCTTGGGAGGCAGGAGGGAGTTCTGGGTGACAGCCAGGAAGCACTTCCAACCCCATTCTGCAGACTCTTCCACCCTTCTTTTTGAGAGTCTGCCAAAATGGACCCACTCCACAAAGCAAAGAAAAAATAGCAGGTATCCCTCAAAAGGAGATTTGGGAGGACTTACCAAGGAGAAATGACTTTTCCTCCAGAACAGGGATCTTAACCTGGCGTCTGCAGCTCCCCACTTGCCAGCTGCCTCTCCTCCCCATGGCCCAGCCCTGCTCGTTGCCCTCCTGTGTCTCACCCAGGGGCCTCCTTCTCCTGCAGGAAGTCTGGACACAGCAGGCCAGGGCTGTCGTAGCCTCCGGCCGTGTGCCTCCTAGCCTCATCACAGCAGAGCCATCATATCCTTAAAGGGACATTGCCCAACTGCTAAGAATAACATTTTCTCCAGATAAATATGCAAATCAATGTTTTAAAAATTCTGACGAAACAAGGAGTCAGTTGCCGACAAGGACAGACATGTAATAGAGGGGAGAGAAGAGGGCGGCAGACTGGGCTTGTCCCAGCCCCTTGTGAAGGGCAGCGGCTGCCCAGCCCTGGGGCTCATTCCATGAGCCTGAGCTGCAGCAGACATGAGAGCCTTGACAAGGACACAGGGTACGTCACTCCTCCACCCCCTTGGCATGAGGGATGCTAAGGCTGGTGGGTTCCTGGGAGACACAGGTCTTTGATTCCACTTTGCTGAGCCTTCCTCATGCTGCCCAACAGCCTGGGACACATCCATCCAAACTTCTATCCCTCCTTCACAGGGGTCAGACCCAAGGCGTGGTTGGGTGGCACTCCTACCTTCCCCCCTGGCTCCCTCCCCATTTCCTCTCATGAGTGTCTTCCCCTCACAAAACTGTTGCAGGTTTAATCCCATCTTGGAATCTGCCTTTCTCAGAAGATCCAGACTAATATGCCCAAAGACCTTCAGTAAATTCATATCGGCAGGCTGATTGACTGGGACTAGCACAGAAGAAGGAAATACTAAGTTGTGTTCTCGGCTTATCACTGGCCAGAGCCACCAGGAGCCATGCTTTCTCCTTTGCACCATCAAATATCCTGTTTCTTACTGTCTTTTGCCCTTTTCCTTCAGGTTGTGGCTCTTTCCTCCTGGTGCCTGCTGAGGGATTCAATCTACTACACGCTGTCTGTGGTGGCACTCATCGTGGTAAGTGTGTGACACACCCCTCACTTGAGTCCCCTTGCCATTTGACTCTTAACTCCTCCTTCTCACCCCTCGGGATTATGTGCAACTCCTCTGCATGGAGCAAGTTCAGGGTCTCTGGTGACGAATGAGCGAATGGGTGTCTACGCACGGAGGTAGCTTCTCTTTCTTCCGGGTGCTTTGATCACCCAGAACCCCAGAGTGATAGTTTGGTCCTCAGAACAGGAAGGTTGACTCTGGTTATCTGGTTCCATGAGAGTCCTCTGCTATTTTCCTGTGACTCCCTGACTATTCCCTCTCACTTTCTCACGGGCTCCTCTGGAACTCTTTTCAGCATCAGTGTCCCCGGGTTTGGACCTTACTTCCCCCTCTCCACATGGTCTCCCAGGACAGCGCCCATGGCCATTACCACCTTTGTGGTGGACACATCCACACTGTATTCTTGGCAATGGCATCCCCCTGAGCTCCAGTCACAGAGAAGCCCCTCTCTACTGGACATCTTCCTATCCCAAACTCAGTGTGTCTCTAAACTTACTGTGACTTCCCCAAGACTGGACCCTCTTTCTGTATTTCAACCCCCATTTCTCTCCTAGCCACCCAACCTGCGGATGATATTAAGTTGACCTTTCCCCCAATTCCACCTTCCTAATTTGGCTTCATTGTAGATTTTCATCTTGTAAAAATCTCTCCAGTGTGTCCCTTTGTAGCCCATTTTAGTTGAGGTTGTCTTTGGCCTGAACTGACACAGTCTGTCGCGTGTCAGTATGACAACGAGAAGCATTGCTGCCACCCACCCCCCCCTTCTACCCCGAGGTGAATCCTCAGAGTTGTCCAAGTGGTAGCTCTACAAAGAACATGCTTGTGGCTCCATGTCACCTGTGGGGACGATTCCAAACCCCTCAGCTTGGCAAGCCGAGTCATCCAGAAGAAGGGTGGTGAATCGGAAAGACACTGAAATGGGAGTTAGGACATCTGACTCCTAATCGTGGCCCCCTCCCTTCTGGCTAGCTCTAATTACCTTGGAAAAATCAGTCTCCTCAAGTCATAGTCTTCTTACCTACAAAACAGGAATAGATCCACTGAAGTGTTCACTCCCCTATTTACCAAGTACTTGCCTGTAGGTTATTCATCAATATCTATACAAATAAGTTGAAAGTGATGTTTAATACAAGACTTTCTACAAGGAACCTGTAGATATTTCAGCCAACAGCAGTTCCTGACAGTGAAGATCTTGGGTATACAACCACAGTCCCCTCATTCCAGGGGCCATTGATAATCAGAAGGGTCAAGACCTGCCCAAGCAGCAGAGCATACAGATCCACCATGTTGGAACTAAAGATATGCCTCCTCTGTTGAACTTCCGGTTGGTAGACTTAAGAACACACCTGGATTCTATGTTCTCATTCTCAGTTACTACCTGTAGGTAATGGTAATGGGTAAGGTATGATCACCCCAAATCTAGAAGACTCTTCTGTTCACACAGAATTCTCAAACACTTGTTGCTGCGAGCTTTGTCCTGCGACATGGGAGCCCACGTTGATCACATGCACCCTCTGCTCTCCTGCCTTTGGGGTAATTTAGGATGGCTTTGGAAGTTACTGTTTCAAAAGGCATGGCTTAGGGATGGCATAAATGGATGCAACTCTCTGTTTTACTGAATTCTGGAATGAGATGACCATTCCCAGAAAGAAGAGGTGATGAGGTGGAAGGCAGAGATCTCCCCGGAGCATGGACTCAGCATGTCCACTCCCAACAGTGAATTGCCCACACTGGCTTCTTTCTCTGTTTTCAGCACAGATACCTCTTGGACTCTGTGTGAAATAACTTGTCTTGGGTCGGATTTATCTGAACATGCCCAGGATTTAAAAAAAAAAAATGTAATTGTTGCTAATGATGTGTGAGGAAGTAAAGAGTTTTGCTTCTTTGGGCTGCAGGTGATGCTCACCCAAGTGGGGTCTTAAGCAAAGCTGTCCTCTGCCCCACGTGTGGCCCGTGAATCACAGAGCTGAGCCAGCCAGACACCCAGGCTGCTGCAGTTCTGTATTTCCCTCAGATGGCAACAAGATGCAAAAGCCAGTGATTCTTTGCTGTTACCTGCAGATTTGGACTGTGTATTTACAGCCTAGCTGTGAAGGCTAGAGTTTTCTGATTTTGAGAAAAATTACATTTCTCCACTGTTAGGAAGTAATGGCAGAGATAAAGCTTGAGTCCTCAGGGTTCGGTCTTGGTTCTTCTTATTTTTACCCATGTTCCGCCAACTTCTGTACACCCTGGAAACACCAAGCATGCTTATCTAAAAAGTGCAACCCAGAGATCTTAATCCAGTAAGTTCTGGGGTAGGACACACGAAGTTCCACTTGAGCCAGATCTGCCCTGCCCCTCAGGGGATTCCGATGCACCACACTCACTTCCAGAAACTCAACTGCAAATACAGTTGGGCACCATTTCCTTGGGATAGTCACCTGCTGTGTGATGATGATCACTTCCGGAGGAAATGTTGAGATTCTCCAACACAAGGCATCATGGCAGCTTGTTTGTCTGGATTGCTGACTGCTGTTCATTCTCAGGGTCATTTTCACATGATACCTAAAACCGGGGTGAGGAGTAGAACAGTGTTCCACACAGAAGTACAACATTTAGCGAAGTGCATTTCTCAACGTCCCCAGATCTCAATGTCCCCAGGCTGCTACTTGTTTTTGTCAGGGTGTTCTATTCTCCTCTTTCTGCATTTTCCCCAAATGTTAAGAAAATCACTTTTCTTCTGGCCTTCTTTATAGAATAGGCTTCTCTAATAGGACCCTGCAGTGGGCACTTAAAATTCCTGTATTTAAACACCTTCCTCCTATCCACAAAGAATTACCAACCATCTGTACAATTTATTTTAACTATTAGGGTTTGGTTTGGGGAGGGGTTGTTTTTGTTTGTTTGTTTGTTTTTACACTCTTGCCCTTTTTATGGTTCTGAAATGTTTAGGAGACAGAATTCCCAGTCTCCGGAGGTGATGCAGTAAAGAGCTTGTTCACCTAGAGGGCAAATCTGGACTAAGTGGGTGCATGAGAATCACCTAAGTGGGACCAGATGTCATTTCTTTGTACAACCCTGTGAGAGCCCCTACAGCCCCTTCAACCCCATGCAGAGGAGCCCCAAGGATGAACCATGGGGCCGGGGGACCCAGAGAACAGGGGAGAGAGCTATGGGAGGGATGCTCATACTGCTGGGCCAGGAGAGTGCAGACAGTCGCGATTACCTGGGTCTGAAGCAGGTCTGAGCTGGAGAAGACCAGAGGGCAAACACACACGGAAAACAACAGAGCTTAAGACTGGTAACTTAGAGACGAGAGACTCGTTCCCTTGGGCATTTGGGTTTTACCTACCTTGGCTCTGTGCTATTTTCTGGTGGGTTTGGTGTTGTCTTTCAGGGAGAAAGCAGAAGAAATTAGGAACGTGTTACTGTCGAAAGCAGTTATGATATCAAAAACATGCAGTGTATGTCTCTCTGCCCTTCCTGCCTCATCAGGCGTCCCCCCTTTAGCCCTGGCGACATCCTGTACAGCGAAGCCTCAGGCCCTGGGGAAGCTGGACGAGGCCCAGCAGACTCACCCCATGACTGGAGTCTCTCTCTGCACCTTTTAGGTCCTGAAAGCATTCTGGGTTCTTTGCAGCATGTCCTTATGTGCATCTACCCAGCAGATAGTCTGCACATCCTTACAGACCCTCTTGCTGCTTCTCTCCCATTCGAGTGACCCACCCCCGACCAATGTCCACCACCACAGGCAGCTCTGCCTAGCCCTACCCTTTCTCCAAATTCCAGCAGGCCGCACAGCTCTTTTATTGAAATGTTACTGTAATTTACATAATCATGTAATTTACATAAATGCAAATGATTCATTACATCCTCCATCTAACAGCTGCCCTAAAAAGGAATACTTTATTTTTACTCTCCATCTCTGCTTTGAGATGGGGGATTGTGAGCAGTAAGAGAAGGGAAACCTCCTGGGGGAGTGGATAGGCCTCGGAGACAGGTTCAGATCGCTGAACTGGCTCACAGATCCAGAGTCAGGAGTGCTGCCTACCCAGAGAGGGGCCAGGTGGGCCACTGGCACCAGCTGGGGGCCCTCGGGGCCCCCTGAGCACGGGCACAGCTGCGAGGCCCCTCCGAGGTAACGCTTCCTGTCTTCCTCCAGGGGGCTGATCGCAGTCCCCCCTCTTGAAGTGATTTTGCGGGGACAGAGAGAGAGACAACTTAGCTGGCCCAGCTGCCAGAAGTGGCCTGGGCGGCATCATCCAGTGGTGTAGCCACTGGGCACATGTGGCTATTGAGCTCTTGAAATACAGGGAATGAAACCAAGGAACTGAATTTTAATTTAATTGAAATTTATGTAACCACGTGTGGCTAGTGCACACCATACCAGATAGCACAGTTGTAGAGAGCAGATCCATCCGGAGAAAATATATGCACATTCTCACAGGCATCCCCGAGTTTTAACCAGCATACACTCGATACTTACCACAGGCCTGGGTACGATGCTGGGTCTGTCCGTGAAGAATTTCCAGTTCAATACTCACGACTCTGCAAGCTAGCTAATTACATGAGTCCCATTTTATAGATGGCAAAACTGAGGCCCCAGAAATTCAGGGATTTGCCCAGGGTCGGGGAGCTGCAATAGCTCAGGTTTACCAGAGCAGGTGTCTAAAATGGTACATCTCCACCCTCCCCCACCCACGGCCCTGGCAAAGAATTCGGATTTCCCCTCCAGTAAAATCTGCCTCTTCATCTTTGAAATCATCCTGATTTACCCGCACCTGCTGTGCAGACCACCAGTTGAGAGGAATGCCTGCTGCACTTACTTCACATGTTTAGACTGAAGGGAATAGCTTCTGCCTTCCCCCTCCTGATTCCTCTTTCCTTAAGACCGCTGATCGTAAATGATCCAGAATCTTATGTCACCCTATCCATGATAGAAAAGACATCTATCTCACAGTAGTTGATGACTGTCCTTCCCCACCCCCCATCCCTGCCTCCACACTGGCCTCCATCCAGGGCCCTGCCCCTCTGGCTCACCACCCTCCCTTCTTGGACCCCTTCCTTGCAGGGAGTTAGCCTCTTCTCTCTGATTCAGCAACATTCATGGTACCCCTTGTTATATCTCAGCTCTCCTTCTGGGAAAGCGAGAACTAACCACGGTAGCTAGAAGATTCTCAGAGGGAATGAATGTGAGAATTTTTTAAGTTCCTTAAACAAGTCAGCTGTGGTCATACAAAGGGTCGCCTGTGTCCTTATCCCTGCCACTCAGAGGAAGAAGAGCGTGCTCTAAAGGCTGCTGGGGTGTACCAGGAAGCTGGGCCTTCCTTGCTCTTGGTCCTGGAGCAGGGACGTGGGTCAGGCAGACTGTGGGATGCACAGAGGACCCTCTTCTCTCTCACAAGGAAAATGACTTGGAAGTTTCAGTTATATGCCTGTGTTTGGTTTCGCACTGCTCAGCAAATATAGCCCTTTGGGTTTGGCAACTATCCTCCCCTGTATCCTAAATCCATCCCCTTATCTGCTTTCCTTCATCCCATAACCTGCCTCTTCATATTTATGTGGGGTGACCAGCTCTGCTCAAGCCCTGCCTTGAGGTAGTCCTTATCTCCTACCCTCCTGCAGCCCCCACCACTGTCGTGGGCTGGCTAGAGATCCTGAGGTCGAAACTCGTGTTTAACTTTCAAGTGTAAACCATATTGGTGCTTAACAGCAGCTTTCCAGTGCATTCCATTGGATTCCTCTCCTCAGAAGGAACGCCATATGCACCCCCAGTCCCCAGAGCTGAGGAAGTCAGAACTCCCATTTGGGCCCATCTCCTGAGGGAGCCTCCATGCTGTTGAGTGTGAAGTCGGGGGAAGTGCAGTTTCCATTTCCAGCTAGGGAGGGACGATTTTTCAGGATTTTAGTGTCTTGAAAGAGAATGGTGGTGTTGATTGTCTCCTATTACTTTCGCTGCTTAAAATTCTAATGGTGCCAGTGATTATAACACAAGCTATGGAAATTGTAGGTTCTTCAATGCGCCCGCTTCTGCTCCATGGTTACAGCGTAGAGTAAGCCACTCCATGGACTGACACACAATGTGGGGACAGCCACCTGCCTCCCTGCTCAGAAGCCAGCCCTGCTGTCTGCCACCCGCACACCTGGGCGACTCCTGGCCCGTGTTTTCCCTGCTCTTCCATCTTGAGCAGGCCACTTCCTTAACAGTTCCTTAGGATGCTTGGTCATCCAGGGATTCACCTGCCTGATGTAAGCCCGTCTCTCTTAGAAGAATTCTAGAGGAGACACCAGGGCTGAAAGCTGGTTTCCATGGTACCCAACTATTTCTCTGAGGCCTGAAGGAAAAGAGTGGTTTGTTGTTGTTGTTGTTTTCAAATTCGCTCCTGCATGTTCACATTTAGCTTGTCTGTGGAACACGTGGAAAGCTTAAGGGCGAAGCCAGAGGTAGCTTTGGATGAACCATATTGGGGTCAGAGAGCAGGTCCCCTGACCAGCTGTGTGCAGCAAATCTGGAGCCCAGATACCAGTTAGCACCATCCGCATGTGGTCACGGGGGGCAGCACCAAACACAACAAGCAAAGCCAAAGAGCTACTTTCGCAAGCAAGACTTGTTTTCAGAACCCCAACTGGGATAAGGGCGAGTCAGTTCCAAAGGCCACACAGCAGGTCCCTCAATTGCAGCATATCCTGGGGTTTGAGTGGTTGGCATGAGTTGAGGGACCTGCCCCGCGAGGGACCTGGATCGTGGGATGGCTTCCTTTATTTAAACTCAGAACGTGTCCTGCCTCCAGAACGTTGGCTGAAGACTCCGTTAGGAAGCCTTCTGTCTTGAGGTGTTTACCCTCTTTCCAGGAAGTTTAATGGAGCCTTGAAATGGACTTGATCTGACTTCCTTCCAATCCCCCTCACTGCCTTGGCAGAGTGGACAAGCAGAGGGTAGGACGTGAGCACCACCTAGTGGTGACCAGGTGGAAGTGGGGGCCCAATTTCTTGTTTCTGACAAGTACCTATATAAATGATTTCAGGGGGTTTTCTACCCTATTAAGGCCGCTGTAAGGTGTGGGACAGTTGTCTCGTCTTCTTTTACCCACAGATAGAACATGGAAATAAAGAAGGATATGCAACATTTGTCTATAAAATGGAATAAAATAAAATATCTGTTAGCAAAGTAACATCCATTCCCTGAAACCATCAGCAACATCAAGTGAGAAAGTCGCCTGTCCTTGTCATTTTAGGACTTTTCAGACCGAGTGATTCCAGCATTCCGTCAGGGTGGTCCAGGAACTAGAAGGAACATCCTGTGAGCAGTGTCAATTTCCTCATTTTCAGTCTTCTGAGTGGGGGATGATCAGTGGCTCGGCCTCATCCAGGTGCCACCAGCAAGGCCCAGACGCATTCATAACTCACCATCCCCCTCCTTTCCCACCACCAACAATCCTCTTTCCATGTAGATTTTCCTAAAGGCCTGACTTCTAGTTCCTTTTCTCTATTTTACTGTTCTTTTTTTGAGTCCTCTCATTCTTCCTCCCAATCCTCTAGAAGAAGTCAGATAAATTCCAGGCGGTGTTTGCTCATTAGCCACCAGGCAGCTGAGGGCATCTGACTCTGAGTGGTCAGTGAGGGGGTGCCCCTGCGTCAGTTATATGGAGGCTTCCAGATCATCTTCATTTGTTAAGATTTGTAGGGAGACCATGGGCAGTTCTCCTTGTCTGCCTCCCTCAACACCGTTCCCACCCCTGACTTCCCTGGCCACCGCCTCTACCTAATCTTCAGACTCATGATGTTCTGTCCTTAATTGTGTATCTAGTCCAGACCCCACTATTCCCTGATTTATTGTGTCCTCTGTAAATTCCATTCTCATTTTGGGATCCTTTGCACAGTTCAGCCTATACTGATTTTTCCCCATTGATATGATCACTGAAATAATCGCTAAAGACCCATTGATCTGTGCCCCCACCTGTCACTCAGATGGCATAGAATAAGGGCTTCCTGAAAGCTGCTTTTATATTATAGGGTATCACCTGCCTTCCCTGATAGACGAAAATTAAATTGGAGCTTTAATAAAGTCTTTACCAGTATCTCGTGCTCTCTTAAGTGGCCATGAATTGATTGCTCCAGCACAATGCTCAAGACTGATACTAAATAAACTTCAATTAATAGAAACATTTTCCAATTTAAATCATTTGTTCTTTTCCCTGATTTCTTGACGATTTTTTTTTTTTAAGCTGGGGGTGGTACAAAAGGATCCGTGAATGCCTTCCAGGGGTGGACTGCATACCATCCAACCTGGATCGCGGGATGGCTTCCTTTATTTAATTCTCTTCCCATTCTGATTTGACATTTTCATCCAAATGTCAACCTGTTGAATCTGATAACAAGAGTCACAAAGCTGCTGAAGCCAACGTCTTCTTCAATGTCTTGTCAGGAACTGTGAGCTACAAATAAGTGGGTCCCCTTTCTTCTCATCTTCTCTTTGCGGCTTTGGGATAATTGGAGAGAGGTCCTCTCTGGTGCCTTCAGAGCCACACCTGTTCAGCTGTGCGGTTTTCTCTGCATGTCTCACAGCTGCTGCTTATTATCATCTCCAGGGACTGAAGCGATGCCCACGTCTTTGGTTGAGTTTACAATCTCCATGCCATAATGACCCCTTGCACCCAGAGGTTTTTGCCTTGGAGTCTCCAGAGGGCCACGGGCCCCGAAAGAAAAGCGCTAAGAGCTGGTCGTACCCAGAGCAGTCGTATCCCGTGAAGGTGGAAAGAGCGAGCTATGAAGCAACCCTCAGCCTCCACTTGTTTTCAACAGCGTGCCTTCGAGGCACGGAAATGTGTCATGGAAAGAAGACTTAGGAGCCAGGCCTGAGTTCTAGAACCAGCTCTGCAGCTAAATGAGCACCCTCAGGAAAACTCGTGTTCTCTGTGGCTCCATTTCCCCATATAAATCAAAGGGCCAGGATGACACCACTTTAATCCCCAAAGTGAGAAGGGATTTGGGCTCTGGCTTAAGGGGGAGGCAGATCTCAGTTTGGCACTGGTCCCTCTCTCCAGCCGCCTCTGACCCTTGCGAATCTCCTTGAACAAAAGGGCAGGCCCGTGGCTCAGGGCATGGGCAGCCTGCGGGGCCCCGCTGGGGTGTGTAGTCACTGTCGTCACTGGATTGACTTCCCACCCTCTGCACAAGGGCGGCAAGTGGAGTGGAGTCTCTGATTCTGGTTGTGATGCAGAGTTTTCTTTGAAAGTCAATTCTTTTAAGGAAACAAGTCAACCGAAAGAAAAATATTGAGTACATAGAAATCCGAGGGCTTGCCTAAAAGCTTGAAGGTGCTGTAGAGTGCCCAGAGACGTGCAGACGGCTTACAGGTGGCCCCCAAGTGGCTGATGTTTGGAAGCATCCGCCAGGCTCCCCTATCCCCTTCCAGATCTAAAATTCGACAGCGCATGTGCTCTGCACAGAGGGGTGGTCGTGCTTCTCTGCCCCTCCACCGTTGGACAGAAGTTGCAGAAAGGAAGGGATGGCCCTGTGCTTCTCCCCTCCGCAGCGTGCCGCCCCAGCCTGCCAACAGCACCTCCTTCCACTAACATTAGCCAGAAACAGAACCAGCACAGAGGGAGGTTTATCTGCAGATTCTTCTGGTTGCAGGCCAGCCGCAGCCGGATCCCCGCAAAGCAGGCTACGTGGGGGGGGACAACGTGCAGTCGTAAAGTGTGTGCGTGTGCGCGCGGATTTTGCGTGCGCGTGCGTGCGTGCGCGTGTCTAATCGTCTGTCCTTTTTATTTTTTTTACAGTTCATTTATGACGAACAAGTTTCCTGGTAAGTGCCTCTTTTTCCCTTCCAGTTTCCCCTGGCTGTGTTGCGGAGCCGAATATATGGAAGACCAGTCAGGGTTTAGAAAGAAAGGGGAATGTCGGGGCAGCTTGGAACAACCAGCACCTCTTGGGACCCCTCTGTGGACCTCAACAAAGACATTAGATTAGCTTTCACAGAGCAGAGACCTTTTCCCCTGGGCTGGGGTGGTGGCCTTCCATTTGGGAGGCTAATATCCCACTGTCTTTGTCACCCAGGTTAGTGACAAACTTAGCTGGCCTGACTCAGCTGGCCTCCTGCAGTCAGTCATTTGCTGGGCCCTGGTTAGGATTTGACTGGTCTTTACAAGTCGTATCCAGACCGCGTTGGCATATTCCAAATACCATGTGTGTCTCGGGAACCAGAGATGGAGGCGCTTCCGTTATCCTTGACCCATTAAAGTTCTGCCTGACATTCAAGACGATCTTAGATCTCTGAAAAATCAGTGACTTTTTTTTTTTTTTTTGATAGATACAAAACTTTAGCCAGGTTACGTCTATGGGAACATTTGCATTTGGGTCAACTACCCAAATCCCCATTTCTCAGGTGGGTTTTGAGCAAGTCAGATATCTTTGGAATAGAAATAGAAATTGGGTGTGTTGTGCATTCTTGCTTCGTTTTTTTCAAATATTTAATCTGTAGATATAGAGAAATATGAAATTGCATCTTAGGGATAGTGTGGCAGTGTAGCTAGGTAAGTAGACCAACTTTCGTGGTATTATTTAAAGCTAAGAGTGAGCCTTTGTCAAAATGCGCACTAGCCCTTTGTGGGAGTGACATCTCTTTGTCTTAGGATCTCTGATTTTCAGAATTTGGGCATGGTAGAGGAACTTGCCCCATTGATGGTAAATGTGATTCACCATGCCAAGGTATTAAAGTGTAGTTTTGCCAGCTCTCTCTTCTCTGTCCAGGAGGGGCAAGGAGGAGGCCACTAGGAGAACTTGCTTTAAGATGCATCATCTTTATATCAACCCATTAAAAAACAAGAAGGTCTTCTTTGAGAAGCCTGGACCAGCAGGCTAAAAAGGATTAAGATGTCTGGGAGCACCTCAGGTCAGAGGTCAGGGAGAACCTCTTCATGGGATCTGCCTGGACAAGGTCGCCAAGCAGAGTGGTGACATCTTCCCTCCATGTCCTTGGGGATGAAGTGCAGCACAAGAAAACTTACAAAACTATTCTCACTCCAAATGATGGCACACTTAGCACAACCACCGCTCTGCCTTAGCAAACAGTAGATGCTTACGTGTTGTTCAGTGTTGCTACTCTTAGCTCACAACACTGCCATAAAGACAAGTTATGATTGCAGTCAATCTCAGAAATTTTTCTGCTGTTTTTACACAGAAAACCTTAAGAAAGAGGATAGCTATGGTGGTTTACTGTTGGTTTTTCTTAGAGAGAGCTCTCTCTTTTCTCTACCTCCCTGGCTTTGCTGATGAAAGCAGGCCTATTTCAGTCCTCAGAATGTCTTTTCGGATCTTTCAGATGGTGTGGATCAAGAAAGGGAGAGACTGTTTCCTCTGCATTCCAAAGGCCAAATCTCCTGTGGATGTACGAGGTTAGAACCCTGGGTTCTGGGTTAGAACCCTGGGCCTGCGCTGAAGGGCTCAGGGTCTGAGGTCCTTGGGCCCTCAGCCTGAGCACTGAGGCTCCCACATGGAGGAGACACAGGAAGGCCATGAATGAATGAGTTGCAGATTCCCAAGTATGTTTCGTTCCAGCCTGGGCTGGGTTAGAATCCTAACTCGTGCACAGGAGTAGCTGCAGGGAAGAACAAGGGGGAGGCTTCATGGCACCAGGACATCATTCCCAGACTGCTGGCCTGTTACGTAATTATTGTTATTATGTGGATGCGCTGACGGAGGACATTCTTCACATGAGTGAGGCTGAGAGATTGAAGTCTGCGCCACTGGCCCATAACTGCTCTGGGACTTCCAGGGATCTCAGCTCCTCATTTAAATGCAAAATATATTGAACTTTAAGGTATTTTTCACTGTCCACCGAAAATACTGGGTATTTTTCGTACCCTGCCAACCACAAGCATTTGTTTTGCTGAAAGGGTGTGTCTAAGAGCTGACTTCTCTGATTTCTCCCTTTAACACCAGATTCTTCAACCTGTGCAATTAAAACACAGCAATACTTCACAAATACCTTTAACAGTGAATTCTATTCCTTGTTGTAGAACATTCCATCATGTCTTAGCGATTTCCAGGGCGGTAACCAATTCATCCCAAATCCTCAAAAGCAAACTAATTTCACTTGTGTATCTTTTGAAATGAGAGTACTCTGTAGGACTAAAGGAGCCTTGTTGAGTACAATACACAGGGGCAAGACTTCCCCATCATCCACAGCTCAGATGCCTTTACCACTCCTGAATGAGCATTCTGCAGCAGATCTCAAGCAGCCAGGGAAGGGCAGGCAAAAGGCTTTTACAGCAGAAAACGAGCTCCAGTGGGTTAAAGAAACAGTGGTTTATTTTTCTTACATAACAAGTACCCCAGCTGTTGGTGTACGATGGCTCCGCATTTCTCTTGGCCTCTCCCTAGTGGTCCCAGGAGGGCTGCTGCAGTCCCAGGCATCAAGTTTAGATTGAAGGCAAGAAGGAGGAAACAGGAAGAACACCTTTCCACCTTATATCTCTTTGGTCCCCACTATGGCCAGGTGGAATAGAATTACAACTCTAGATCGATCATGATTTATTCTGGAGATGGACCCACCCTCCTTCAGATCCAGTAGTCCTCATTTGCTGTCTCAACCTCGTAGGCTTCTATTAGCAAACAAAAGTCAGGTGAATATAAGTTTGGTGCTTTTCAGTTAGATAACTACCCCTAAAGACATTTAAAATAGGAAGCATCAGAGATCCACCAAGTATGAAGGATGTTCAACCTGAATCCATAATGACAGCTCAGCAAGGCCCACAATATTGCCGGAAGGAATTTGGACTATGTCTTCAGTGAGTCTGAAGGCCTGACAAGAAAACAAAAGGATCCAGGTTGATGTTCTTGTTTCTTCTTTGAACCTCAAGCTGTAACTTTGGGAGAGAAAAGAGAGCCTGGGGACGTGACCTGGAGAATATTTACCTGTGTGGCACTTGGAACCAGCATTGAATGTTCTGGACCACAGTTAGGAAAGCAGAGCCATGCCCTTTGGGTGAGAATGGGGAGGAACAGGGAATAAGCTTCCCAATACAGGAAAGAACGATCTTTGGCAGGAGAACCAGGGGCCAGTTGAAGGTGGTTCCAAATGGAAGTTTGCGGGAAGGGAAAGAACAAACCCAGATCATGCCACAAGACCAGGTCCTTGGAGGACAGTGGATGAGCTGTGGTCAGGAGAGGCAGGTGGAGAAGTGTCCCTGGGGGGGGGGGGGGAGAAGGGGGACAAGAGCTGTGTGACTTTAGAGGTCTGCATGTGGAATCTGTCCAGTTCCACCCCTATTTCCTAAACACCTCCTGAATGTGAGGCTCTGTTCCAGAACCAGAAATAGAACACAGAACCAAACTCAGCCCTCACCTTGGGTTCTCTGGGACTAGAGAGGAGGCAGACAGTAGACATGTAATCACGGGGTCATTTGGAGACACTCATGGCATGGGGAGGGCGGGGGCGGGGGGTATCCCTGGGACTCTGAAGAGCATTGAGCCAGGACTGGATCAAACACTCAGGCCCTAAAGCAGAGAGGACAGCAGCTGGCTAGTATCAAGGCCTCACAGAGCCTCGTGTATTTCCTCTCGAGCAACCACTGGGTGAGCCCTGTCTGGGCGCCCACCAAGCAAACCTGAAATGTCAGCAGAAGCAGAGAACACCCATCTCATGGGCATCCCTGAAATCTAACAAAAGAGAACTTTACTTGAATATTGCAATGGAAGGGCTTGTTTTGAGGAAAAAAAACAAAAAGGCCTAAAGGAATTAGAGAGTATCCATCTACCTGTTTACAAAGTGCTGGACTTCATTCAGCGTAGCTGAAATATTTCACGTTGTGGGTCTGTTTCCTGGTGACCCCTTCCTGAGTCTATTAAAAGGCATCCAAGTTACATAGCATCCCTTTGGATCTCGAGTATCTCTGCCTTCAAAATGAACACTGAATAAGCCTCATTTTTCCCAATTAATTTTATGCCACACATACACTGGTTTCAATAAGGACCATGTTCAAGAGGTATTTTGCAACTGAAAATGGATTTCTTTTAAAGATTTTATTTATTTATTTGAGAGAGAGCAAGAGAGAGAGAGTGAGAAACAGCATGAGAGGGGAGAGGGTCAGAGGGGGAAGCAGGCTTCCCGCTGAGCCAGGAGCCTGTTGTGGGACTTGATCCCAAACTCCGGGATCATGACCTGAACCAAAGGCAGTCACTGAACCAACTGAGCCACCCAGGTGCCCCTGGAAATTGATTTTAAAGGAAGTCTCACCCTGTGCAGATGAGCTGAGGGCTGCTCTGTGCTGTGGGGAGAGGAGAATAGTGGGCCCCCAGGGAGGGAAGGCGAATCAGCTGTCAGGGGATCTGTTCTAAGTCTCTGGAAAATGAGAAATGGGATAGCTGAGGTGGGGGTCAAGTATGAGGAGTGCTGTCAAGTGACTGCCTGAAACAGGCATTAGTAAGGAATGAATAAATAAACAAGGGAAGCACAGACAGGTCAGTGGTTTAAAGAACATACACAAGGCCATGTGATAGAAAGTGAAGGAGTAGGCAGGGAAGACATCTTGGAGGACGTGACATTTCCACGGGCATTTGCAGGATAAAAGGGGCCAGCCAGGGAGTGAAGGGAAGAGTATTCTTGGCAGGAGGAATAGTGAGTGCAAAGGCCCTGTGGAGAAGGAAAGAGCTTCTGGCATGTGCAAACGAAGGGAGGCCAGTGTGGTGAAACACAGAGGGGGCACAGACAATTGGACAAAGCAAAAGAACTGGGTTTTACAGAGAAAGGGCACCTTTTGTTTTTTCTTCTCAAGTATGTTGGGAAGCAGCTGGAGAGCTTGAAACAGAAGAATGACATGATCAAGTAGCCTTGCAGACACCAGTTCAGAGCTGCCGTTCAGGTGGCCTGGTGGGTAGCAGTGCAGAGGGCAGAAGCCAACAATTAAGGAAATATTTTGGACGTGGGGTTCTGAGGGATGTGAGGCGAGGGTCAAGGAGTGCTCCTGACTGATTTCCAGATTTGGAGCTTGACCGGGCAGGGAGTGGTACAGTTGACTGAGGTGGCAAAGCCCAGGGAGCATGAAGCCGGGAAGTAGGAATTCCAGATTCCGCTCCAACGTGCGTTTAGACGCCACGTGGAGAAACCATGTTGACCATGGGTATAAGCCCCTGCGCTGGGGAGAAGTGCAGGGTGGAGGTGTCGGCTGGTGTTTACAGCAGGATGATGAGATGACATCATCTAGGTAAAAAGAGAAGAGGGTCCCATATTTGGAGTTTCACCTGAGGAAATGGAGGAGGCAGAAGGAAGGAGAAGGTAGGGGGATGACAGGAGGAAAAGCAGCCATGCGGCCTCTCAGAAGTCGGGGGAAGAGCATGTTGCATGCAGGAGGACAGGTGGTCAACCTTCAGATGCTGCAGGGAAGTTGAACAGGGTGGCTGAGAACCATCCCTGGGCACGTGCACATGGAGGTGGCTGGTGCCCTGGACCAGTGTGTCAGAGGATGGATGGCTGTGGATGTTAGACTCAAGGAATTTGCCAAGTGAGTGGGAGGTGCTGCAGGGCAGTGCACGCGATGCTTTGAGAAGGTTTGCTGAGAGAGGAGCCGAGAAATGTGGTGGAAAGTGGAGAGATTTGGAGCCCCTGACTTCTCTTAGTAGCAGCAAGAGCACTTTTACACCAGATACGCACACACACACAGTTTGCATAGTGATTCTGAACCAATGTGCGGGACTGAAATACCATGACAGGTGGACCCAGCCTCCCCTCCTACAACTGTCTCACTGCTTTCCAGCACTTTGGGGTTATAAACACCACTGCAACAAAACCCCTGTGTGCGGCCTTTTTAAATTTGACCACATATTTCCCCAAGGGTCAATTTTTAGACACAGAACTTGAGAAGAAAACAGGAAGGGAAGGCATAACCTAGAATTTCTTCACAGACCATTCTCCAGTAACCTTTTCTCGAAACCAGAATTACTCCCTCAATTCTACAGCTAAAAGGGGAGCTTAAAAATTAAATTCCTTGGTTTTTGAAACTGGAAGTTACTAAAATGAATAAAATAGAAGTATTCAAATTATCCGAAGTTCAAGGTACATTCCAGTGGGTTTATTTTTTACTTTCTCTTGACCATTTTCCACTTGTCCATTCTTATCCTTCCTGCTGGCACCTCCCTGCCCAGGCGTCCTTTCTCCCTCCTTCCCTCCCTCTCCCTCCCTCCCCCTCACTCTCTTTCTCCCTCCCTCTCCCTCTCTCTCTCTCCCTTCCTGTCTCCCTGTCTCCCTCCCTCCCTCTCTC